AATTTGGAGGCAAAGGTTTGTAACTTCACAGGCTAGAAACATTACAATTATTACTTTAATTATTCCCATTCCTGATGTTTAGTTTCACCTTTTAAAGAAAAAGAAGTATGCTCTTGTGAGCACTGAAAATTAACTTTTTTTACTATCTCAAAGTCACAGGAAAGTATTTGATCATTTCATTTAATCTATTGTTCGGCAAGGTTAGACTCTTCCTATAACCTCCAAGGGTGGGTCCTTCCTAAGTTTCTTTTCTCTGACCATCAAGCCATGGGGGCTCCTGCCTCTCTTGGCTGATTATTTACTAAGCAGCATCTCTTCCCCTTGTAACCCAAGGTCATCCACACATTCCATCACAAGTATTTGTTTTTATATTAAGCATGAACTAAGCCTTGTCTTAATTACAGAGTTATCTCTGCCATTATTATTATAATTGATATTATTATAGAGCCACTTGATGGGTGGCTATATAAATAAGATAATTATTATCTTTCACGACAATGCAAAGTCCCAGCTGCTCATTCGTTAGCTCAGAGTTCCCCGTTTCTGGCTTTGCGGACCGGCGGACCAGCGGGGGAGGGGGAAATGGGATGGTTCCACATGAGCAGCCAGCAAGCACAGATTGGGGACCCCTGCTTTAGCTGGTGTTGATTTTCATATGCATCAAGCTCATCCATTGGACATCATTTGTCTGAAATGGTATAGGGCAGGGGTCCCCAACCCCTGGTCCGTGGACCAATACTGGTCCACAGCATGCCAGCAACCAAGTCTTTATCAGTCTATGTTTAGGAAATCCCATATTTTAAGCTGCTCATTTTTGACTTTTTGAACTATATATTCCCACCAATTTTTGATGACCAAGATAGTATCAGTACTAAATCCCAGCCTGAAACCTAACTGAAATGGCTCTAGACAAGTCATTTCCTCCAGGGTTCTCATCAGCTCTAGACTGATCACCTTCTCAACAAACTTCCCCCAAAAGGAAGATTGGAGCCTGGTCAATAGTTGCCAAAATCCACTGGGTTCAAGGATGTTCTTTTCGGAAAGAGAGGTATCATCCTCTCCTTCAGAGACACTGACACCATAGCATTGACCCAGCCATGGATCACTTTCCTGGCCATTTTTAAAATCCACAATGGGTCTAGAACTCTTACTCCTTATCAAAGGGAATGATTATATTACATCATTCTAAAACCTTACTATCCAAATTGCCATTTTCCATGTCATAAAGAAAATTTCTAGGTTCTTTCTTCTTAAATCTATAAGAAGAGTGTATGGAGAGAAGACAAAAGTATTCACAGATTCCCTGTTATAATCAGAGGAAGTCATCTTTTTGGAGTCTCAACATCTTAAATCTTGATAATCCAGTCTATTATTGAGTTAAGGACTTTTATATGCTTTTATAGTTCTATTCTCTCTTGTACTTAATAATGAACTTTATTGTTTTTATAGTTTTAAATAAAACTGTATAGACTACCACAGAACTGAAATTATTAAGCTGGTCAAAAATAAATAACCAGATATAATTCAAAAATGTATGGGCAAGTCTAGCTGTTGGAAGTCCTGACTAGGATTTAGTCTTTATTCTTTCCACATTCAACATTTCTTGGACATAAATCTGATTTTGTTTGTAATAAAATGGTGAATAGAAAGTCACTGAGTGGGTTCACACATCTCTCTAATGCTGTTTGTTTAGTTTGGCTTAGAACTACACAAGAGCAAAGCTATTGTGTGAAAACACTGTTGCAGTTCTGAAGTGATAAGTGCATAATGCAAATTAAGGCCCTTATCTGGAGACAGCCAAGGATAGCTACAAGCCAATTTGTTTCTCATTCTTTCTTGTCAACTGAGAAAGCAACACAAATACAATGAACCAACAGCTGCTGTCTATCCTGTTGTCTGGAAAACAAATGGAGAGAAGTTACATGTTGAATGGTCAATATGAATTAATGATATAGGAGGTAGAGTTGCAGATATTTACATATACACAACAGTCTAGATGTTATACTGCAGATGTAAATCATGTATCTCAACTGCCCACAACTTGCTGCATAAATTAAGTTCATATTTTTAATGGCTTTCCACATTGGACTAACCCATAATTTCCTTATACAGTTATTGTATACTACCAATTCTGTACTCCAACAACAAACAGTAAAAACACAATCCACAACAAACATAAATAATAACTGTTAAAAAAGGTATTGATATATATATCCAACAACATCTATTAGAATAATACTCTTTGGTTACCCTTCTAAAAATCATGCAGTTAATTTGACTTTGACTAAATGCAGCCTGTGAAGCCAACTATTATGGCTTATAAACCATGATTTACAGCCACTATATAAATCCCATCTTGCTTTTACCTGCTCTTCCAACAAGATATCACTACTATAGATCACAGACAAGAAGAGGATGAATCAATTTGTGAAAGAAGCACAATTATCTTTCATAATAGAATTTTGGGTCAATTGTCTCAATAATTCCAATCAAGTATTTTTCTTTTTAAATTCAGTTTACACTTCACACATGAACAACTATCTACTTCAGTAACAAGGAAAATGAACATGTCTGCTAAAGTTACTCAGAAATAAGGGTACATTCATACCCACATTGTCCTATTACTACTGCAGGAAAAAAAAGGACTTTTTTTGCAATTCTTTCTTCTATGACAAATATCAATAAAGAAAGAGTGTGCCATTAGGCTATTCAATCGTAAAGCACTGTGATATAAAAAATGTTCAAATTATGCACAATCCGATGATATGTGATACAGAACAAACTGTTATGGCATCCATTCATTAAAAATGCAGAACGAAAAAACAGAAGCCAGCAGCAGTCCTTTCCCCCAATCTGGCACTTAATTTACTAATCCAAGTTGCAACCTAATTCTTTGAAAGCACCTAAATATGCTCAGGAATACTTATACTGATACCAACTGGTCCTAAATACAGTTTTAGTTCAATGGCTGAATAATGTCAGGTGGATTTTCAGGCTGTTTTCTGCTAGTACACTATAAATTGGATATGTCTCTCTTCTCAGAATTAAATATACAACTACAAGTAAAATAGACCACAGAGCAGAAGACTATGTAAACAGATTTGTGGAAAGAACATTGCAAGCCACTGAGTAACTGCCTATAAAGCAACCACCAAGACCTGTTTTGACATTGAGAGCAGATTAAAAAGTTTCCTGAAGGAAACTTTTTGTCCAAGAACAATTATTAATGATAATATGCAGTTGTTAGCTTTTGAAAATATAATCAGTCAGACTTCACCTCTGCCGAAATCAAGAAGCACAACAGTAGATCCAGAATTATCTTCTGGTGTTTCAGGGAATTAATGTAGAACTACATTTATTAGAGAGCCAGAAATCTATAACAAAACCTAAAAGAACTTTCTCTAATCAGAAGAATTGGGATTCTAATTCCAATAATTCCCTATCCCTGTGGCAGAATATTTCAATAATGAATTACCACCCAGAACATCCGAGCTTGGAGAAAGACACTCTAGTACAAAGATAAGCATTTTTTTCAAAAGAGCTCAAGTTCAGAAGTGACTTAGACCTTGAGATTTAGCATCAAATCTTCCAGGTGGCATGTATAAGGTTCATGTTCCATCCCAGTTTGCTGAGTGAGGAGTGAACTATAAACAGGTAGCTTGCACAGTAGACTTTATCAGGACTTTACATGCACATCAAGGCCTTAATATCTGTGAAAATATTCTGAATCACTCATGAAAGTATGCACCGAATTTTGCAAGCTATAGTTTACCACACTAAGTAACATCCCTACATTAAGCTTCAACCACTGGACTCTGAAATAGTGTAGGGAGATCACTTTGCAAACCAACTCACTCCCATCTCCATCTGGAAATCTCTTTTGCATAAGCAACTGCCCACTCCCAACCGCCTAAAAAATGTGCATGCAAAACTAAACCCCCTCTCTTCTTTCAAAATTACTCCTGCAAAAATCTGTGAATTAGGAAAGCAGTCCTTGTATTGCATTAGTTCAATAAACTCAAGGGCAAGGTGTGGATTCAGTACCATACTTATGCTTAAGCTACTGATGGGTTAGGGTAGAGGGAGTGAATACTCAAAAAAGTATTTATTTTTTAAATGTTATCTTAAAGCAAAAAAAAAAAAAGAGAGAGAGAGCAAAGCCAAACCAAAAAAAGCAATATCTTGTGAGTTTTCTACTGTGTCAGGAGTGTTGCATAACAGGGAAAGGAAAAAAATGTGACTATGATAGGTTATAGCCAACCTATAAGTCACGCTTTCCTCCAAGAAGGTATCAGTGGGTACTGAAATCAAAATGCAGCCAGATAGTTTCCCCAACATACACCCTCTCTTTATGTCCTGTAGCAAAGAACACTCCCTTCAAAATCTCACAGGGGAGCACTTCCATCCCCAGCGTTGTAAGAAAATCTTAAAATACAGACGGTTCCCAGTCTCTTCGGCACACACAGGCTTTCATCGGCGTATCAGTTAATGTGGCACCGCGGCCACGGCTTTCTGCAAGCAGCCTCCATAGGGGAAGATGCAAGCCTCACGCCTACATCTCCAGCAAAAGAGGCGCGATGCAAAGCGAGCCCCCAGGCGTATATCTATGGTGTGTACACTATAGATGGTTGCCCCCGCCTGCCCTGAAACGGGGTTGCCCAACAAAACGACGGCACCCTTTATCAAGCCGGGCATCGAGGAGGAAGAGAGAGCGAGCCCTGGCCGTCGAGAAGAGCCAACCCCAGAGGGCCCCCCGAGCCACCATTCACACAACTGCAATGCAGCTTTTACTATCCTACCCGCCCCGCCCGCGACACACCGCCCGACCTCTGGCTTCGGCAAGTCCGCTCCTCTGACACCCCCGGCCCCCTCCCCCCGTGCACTCCCACTGCGAGAACCGAGGCAGAATAAGATTCCGAACAATGAAGGGACCCGAGGAGAGGAGGAGGGGGGGAGGAGGAAAAGGGGAGAAAGCCTGCGGGGAGGGAGAACAGACCCACCTTTCACTTGAGTTTCATACTCCGCGATAATCTCTTTGTCTTTCTTGAACTTTGCTTGAGATGACATTTTTGGACAGTTCTGCTCTGCTCCGCTCAAGTCCGCGGGCGAGCCGGATTTTCGTTTCCTCCTTCGGCGCCCTCGCCCGCTCTCGCCTCCGATTCCCCAAGCGCCCTCCCGCCCTCTTTTTCCCGAGCCCGATCGGCTCCCGAGGAGACAGAGAGGCAGACACCCAGAGAGAGAGAGAGAGAGAGAGAGAGAGAGTTGTTCAGCAAAGAGAAGAAGGGCAGCTTCTCCCCTCTCCGTCGGCCAGTCAATTGTCCAGCATTTGCCTTCGGCCAGCTGTAAGCAGGGAGAACCTGCTGGGAACGCTCGGGAGCCGCCGCCGGCGCTAAGAAGCGGGGTGAATGGAGGGGAGGAGCGAGGAGGGTGTGTCACCTGCACCCAAGTAGGCTTCGACGGGGGGGGGGTTGTCTAGAAAAAGACGCCAATAAATAAATCAATAAATAAAGCCGAGCGCCGGAAGCCACTCGGCGAAAAAAGGCTGCAAGGAGAAGTGGAGGAAGCGAAGGGAAAACCGAAGCTCCTCCTCCGCTTAGCGTGTAGGTAACGCCGCGGCGGAGGAGGCACGGAGTAGAAGCGCTCTGGGGGCCCAGAAGCTCAGGGAGCAGCAAGAGCTCGCATTGCGCCGTCTTCCTCTCCCGGGAGAACTTGGCCGGGGCTGCCGAGGAGGCAGCGGGCTGAGGGGGGTCAGCGGGCTTCTCGCGCGGAGCTGCCTTCTTCTGACGGGCAGGCTTGAATTAAGTTGGCCCCGCCTCCCCTCTTTTGCAACAACTGACACATTGTAGGCTACGGGGCGTTTGAACTCGCTGCGAGGGGAGGGCAGAGGCAGGGTTGGGCCGAGGCGGCGTGCGCGCAAGGGCGAGACGGGGCGGAAGGGAAAGCTCTGCGGAAGCCTCTGGGCTTCGGCTTCGGGGTGCGCTGGAAGCTGGTTCTCCCCTTCGCAAATCCAGCGCTGCGAGTCGGGAGACGGTGCCTTTTCTGAGGGAAAAGGCCAAATGCAGAATGGAAGGGGCGGACCGGGCCGGGGTCTTTTTCTCCTTAAATCGCTCTCCCGAGCCGTTACTCTTGAACAGTCTTCTAACCTGGTGACCTCGAGTAAAGTTTGACGGGGAAAGGGCTTAATCAAACTCTCTGCACTGCACGGAGACTGTATCTCCTGATGCCTTCTCCCCTCTTCTAATCAGTAATCGGTAGCGCGGCTTTGTGATTGGTTATTTCACGTGCAGAAGCCGTACTTTACTGTCTTTTTAGAGATGCAAAATCAGCTTCGGCAGCCTTTGGGTCTGTGATCGTTCGCGGTAAGGCCTCAAAGGGCACGGGGCTATTCCGCGCTCGAGCCTGTTGGAAATAGGGCAATGTACTTCTAGATAATCCTCAACAGAATTGCAGTCTTGCTTACTACATCCATCTTGTGGCTGTCTTTACATACTTGGCAGAGATAAATTAATCGTGCTTTACTTCGGTTTGATGGATTTTTTTAACATACAGTGCTAACCAATAAACTGATCAAGCAGATCAGGCTCCCATAGCCTAGGATTGCCTGGTTTCAGGACCAAGTGCATCAGGCAATCATCCTATTTAGGAGAAATTGAAGTTCAGACCTAACCTAGTAGTGAAAACTGGGTGTGCTTTGCCTGTGGTCTATTAAAGAAACAGTAGGTTTCTTAGATAAGAAATCATAATATATATAGGCCATGTAGCTGGGTTCATTAATTGTGCTAAGCCAAAATCCATAAAAGAACATTGCAGCTTAATGCAGTGCTTGAAATTGGTCAGTGAAGGCTGTGGAGTGAATCCAAGGAAAAAATGAATCAGTTCCGGTAAAATTAATTCCTTAGCAAGTTAAACTGGGCTAATCTTGAAAAGGCTAAGCTGAGTTGATGGGAGGCTACCATCCCAAGGCTCTAGACCAGTGATGGCGAACCTCTTAGAGACCGAGTGCCCAAACTGCAACCCAAAACCCACTTATTTATCGCCAGGTGCCAGGTGGGCATGGCCCACTGGATGGGCATGGCTGTGGTGGTCATGGCAGATTGGGTGGGTGTGGCCAAGGTGGGCGTGATCACCTCAATGTTGCTTGTGGGGAGGGATGCCTGTGGGGGCCGGGCAGAGTTGGGGGAGATCCAGGGGGTCCCTGGCAGGTGGGGCAGTGGGCAAGAGGTTTGTCCTGCGGGGAGAGGTGAGGCAAGGCAGGACAGGGGTGCCATTGTCACAGGGCAAAGTGAGGCAGGGGCTGGGGAGGCTGCTGCCTAACACCATCGGTCCCTGCACACAGAGGCCAGCGAGCGCATGGGTGCTGGGATGCATCCGGCGAGTTAGCGAGCGGCTGGTTGAAGAGGGTTGCCATTTCCGGGGCATGGCACGCATGCCCACAGAGAGGGCTCTGAATGCCGCCTCTGGCACGCGTGCCATAGATTCGCCACCACTGCTCTAGACTAGACTGTGAAGTTAAGAAAATATCCTTGAAGAAAACAAGACTTGTGAATATATATATAATATATATGTCTCTTGAATGAGACTTTAGGTCATGGGTGTCAAACTCGCCGAGTCACTGACGTGACATATTGTGACTTGTTGCATTGCTGGGTGGGTGCAGCCTCTGTATGATGCAACTGGCCCACGGGCCAGCAGTTTGACACCCTTGCTTTAGGTCCATTGAAAACAAAAATGTTTTTTGCACTCTCGCATAACAGATTTCTATCCCAGAGTTTTGAAAGGCGCTACTGTTATGCAAAATTGCAAATAGAAGATAGAAGCTCATCAGAGTGTGGCATTATTACTTTCAAAGGCCATAGATAAGCTTAACTCTGCCTATTAGGACGAAGTGTTTTACAGTCTTAATGTTACAGTACAGGTAAGCCTCGGCTTATGACCATTCATTCAGCAACCAAAGTTATGACAATGCCGAATGAAGGGACTTACAGCAATAAGTTACAGCTGTTACAATATCCTTGCAGTCACATGATCAAAATTCAAGTGTTTGGCAGCCTGCCCACATTTACAATTCCAGGGAGTGCTACAATTTCCTCCACCTACCTGTCTGTGCTTTTTTTGCCCTCTGCCACTCTGAGCTCCATGCTTCAGCTCATCTTCAGCTGTGCAAGCAGGCCAAAAGAGCAGAAATGGAGAGAGATAGGCAGGGGCAATTGGAAGCAATCCTTTACCTTACTGAGGCTCAGCGTTGGATGGGACCAAGCCCAGAATGTTGGGATTGGGGTGGGTCTTTGCCTAACAACCAGTAAAATTTGCTGGATGACAGCAATGGGGATTGCAGTCACTAAGCAATGTGGTCACATAACACTTTACAACCTCATTGCTTAGCGACCAAAATTCTGATCCCAATTGTGGTTGTTCGTCAAGGACTACCGGTAAGGTTTTCTGCTGTTCTTCTTTCTGTGTTGAATAAGTTCAAGCAAAACAGATGATCAACCCATCTGAGGGCACCACATTGGGAAAAGCTGTACTAGCTTGTTTAGAATAACAACCGTAGATGGCATTACTACTCACCTAGGTATTAGGTTAGCAGAAAACAAGCGGTGTAGAAGAAAAGTCTTTTATCTAAGAAACAGCTGCATCTGCAGTTTCTATCTAGTTATGTGAATTTAAAACAAGACGGAAAATAACTTCCCTAGAACTATTCCCCTTGTGAATTAGGCTGAAGGACATTGAATAAAGCTATGTGTTGATGCAGTGCACTGAATTATCAGAACTCTTCTAATTAATTAAATATATGCTACTGATTAATAAAACAGCCAGGCTTTTTGAAGAACTGATTATTTCTTTTTAATTATTTCAAAATCATGGGTGATTAATACCATATTAGAACATAAATTTAGCTCCCTTTTACACATAGGAAGTGCAACTTTTTGTAACTGGAACTTATCTTGCAAAATACATTAAATGCGGGGGAGGGCTGGATAGAAGTTTAGATTTAGTTTTGCAAGTTTGTGCAGACTTTAAATCAGTGGTTCTCAACCTTTCTAATGCCGCGACCCCATAATACAGTTCCCCATGTTGTGGTGACCCCCAACCACTTATACATCACCGGGTGCCAGGGGCGTGGCCAAAGAAAAGGGAAAAAAAATGGCGGACAGCCTTGTTTGGCGACCCCCGTGAAGTGGTCGTTCGACCCCAAATGGGGTCGAGAACCACTGCTTTAAATGAATATAGTGATTCCCACAGTGGTAGGAATGGACCAAACACAGCTTGCTTTTTGCAAAGAGGTTAAACTGATTCTGTTCCAACATGCGGTCATCTCTTAATTACTTTGGGTATTCTGATGGTGAGTTTGAAATCTTATTTGTTTATGTATTTATTCATTCTTCATATTGTACGCTTTGCCTTTTGTTCTTTTCCCAGCATCCAACAGGACTGAGGCGGGACATAAGCTATTCTTAAATAAATAAATAAATAAATGCAATAATCCATCTAAACTAAGACAATTTGTCATTCTAAGAGTTCTTTCATGTAAATTGCAAAACCTCAGGTGCCATGAAATGAAGCAAGGATTGCATGTGGCCCTCACAATCCCTTCACAAGTTGTCCTCAACCTGGACTTTTGAATGTGATGGAAATGGAATTGTCTAGGAGGGAACAGTCAGATTGTAGTTGCATTCAGTGAATGGAATTTAACTTTCATGAAATGAAATATAGTTTCATCCTGCTTGACCCATTTCTTAAAAGTGCAGCTCTGGCATCGAGGGAAACTATAGGTACTCCTCAACTTACAATCATTCGTTTAGTGACTGTTCCAAGTTACAGTGGCACAGAAAAAAATGACTCATGACCATTTTTCTAATTTTTCTAACCATTGCAGCATCCCTATGATGACATGATCAAAATTCAGAACTTGGCAACTGGCATGTATTTATGACTGCTGCAGTTTCCTGGGGTCATGTGATCACCTTTTGCGACCTTCTGACAGGCAAAGTCAATGGAGAAATCAAATTCACTTAACAACTGTGATACCAACTTAACAACTGCAGTGATGCACTTAACAACTATGGCGAGAAAGGTCACAAAATGGAGCCAAATTCACTTAACAACTATCTTGCTTAGCAACAGAAATTTTGGCCTCAAGGACTACCTGTATAGCCTTTGCCTTAAAAGTGATATGTACCTCTTTTTAATTGGGTGAGAATGCTGCATGTTATCCCTTTGTTTCATCCACTCTTCATCTGAGCATATGGCCTACTAACCAACATAGGCCACTTGGCTTTGTATGAGCTACGTAAAATGTGGGAGGAAAAGAAGAAAGGAAAGATGATCTGTAACAGATGCTGAGAACAACAAACAGAAGTGAGTAAACAAAAGAAAGTAAAATCCATCCATGCTGGTTAATATTAAGACTGAAAAATGGCATGAATTGTTTGCAAAAACCTAAACAGTAATGCAGTTCAGCTATATGCTTACACCAAAATAAAACAATAGAGTTGGTTTAATCCACAGTAAATGTATGTAGAACTTACATTTGACTTACGTTACTTATATAAGATTTAGGTTCTTCCAGATATTACAGAGTAGCTTCATTCAGTATTTTAGAAAGTTAATACATTTTTATTGTGTGCCAAAATGAGTGCATATTCTCAATATTACCAATAATAATGAAAGGTGCTTTTAACATACTATATTTAAGTATATAGTGAAATGTGTATGGGCATTTGAAGTTTATGGAAACCATGGGCATATTTAAATGTTTTTGGATTGCATCCAGTATATGAAACATATTCCAGGAAACCAGGTCTGTGTGCATATCCATTTCTAAGACATGCATTGTTAGTATACTGGTTTGCTTCAATAGCCATTTTGAGTTATGATACCATCACTGTCTCAGCAGTTCCATCATTGCTGTAATGTTTGCTGAATATTTAATTACAACAAAGAGCAGGAATATTACATTGTCTTATAAACAGCAAGTCATACATGGAAGATCGTTGCCTCTTAGTAAAATAGACATATGCTTGCAAGTTAAAAATATTTTGTAGTCTAGAGCAACTTATTTAGTAGCTGGATCAATACATATTATATAGATCCAGCTACATAACACATAATACACTATGTATTATGATAAAACCATAATACTGGTTTTATTTTCATTTTACTGTTAATGGTGCTGATCTGTAAGAGCTTTTTTGTATGGTGGTGTCATCCCCCCCCCCCAATTATCCATTAGAAATAAAACATTTTACTACTTTAGTTGGAGTTTAGGCAGGTGGTGGGTTTTTGTTTTTTAAATTAATTTTGTGTTTCATAACTTATGCTGATGATTTTTTTAGTCTTCAACTTAGTAGTATATGATGTAGTAATGTATGTTTTTATTAATAATGTATATGTATTTTGTAGCTTTTATTACCATAATCACTGAATATGCAGTACTTGATGTGTAATGCAAAATATTTTAAAATAAGTAAATAATTCATGACATTTTTTCTCTGTATATTTCAGACATTTTTTTTCTCTACACATGCTATCTTCTCTCTCCCTGGCAATTCAACCAAGGTCACCCATGAGTTTCAAAATAATTTATCCTTGAATTAAAGAAGGTATTAAGAGAACTGACCCAAATAAAGAACTATTCCCTACACAAAAGGCTGTTAAGTTGAAGGCTATTAAAGAAATTTGGATTTCTACAAAGGAGTTGAGTTTTTTTAGGTCAGGTAAAGCATTGTTTAACATTGAATATTCTCCATTTCAGTGCTCCAGTTAAAACTCACAAAGATCATTGATACTGTATTAGTTCCATGTCTCAATCACATGTTCACTGCAATTGCCTAAAGGAAAATAAAATTATATGCATATAGCTGTATGGGCATGAATCTAGATCTCAAAAATATAAATGTAAAATCATGATTTGGGGGATTTGGTCTTATGGATGGGGTTGTGGTTGGGGTTTGAAGACAAATCATGTTATTATGATTGTGACATATGGTGGGGGACAAGGACAGGTCACTTTCAAGGAAGGCGAAA